AATACGTATTCAACTTTCGAACTTCGAGATAAGTTTGATATGGATGAACCATGCATGTGGTTACTTTGGGGATGAGATAAAGAGGGTTCATAAAGAAGGCGATACATTATTGATCATGGACTACAAACTAATGTTGTTGCCAAAGAAGATCTGCAGCTTCCGTGGTATTAAAATAGGGTGGTTTTGCAACACCCCAATTCCCTCCACAAGGAGTACTCGAGACATTACCTACTTTAGTTGAGTTGATGGATGGTGTTTTGCATTCAGATGTAGTTAGGTATGTGGCTTTTTGTCTCATCTGCTTTTTTGAGTCTTGTAGATGTTCTTTAAGTTGAAAGATGATTTTCCTTCTTGTAATGCTTTATATCCTTTCAGTTTCTTACCGTTAAGTCTTTCTGCTAGCATAATCTTTGCTGCCACATAGAAATGCTAAATAGAGGAACTGGCTAATAGTACATCTTACTGTACAGTATGAAAGCTCCTATGTTTGTTGACTAACTTTCTGAATTATTTCCTCAATTCCATGTTATATCCCTGGAAACAGGGACATGGTAATCATGGCTGCTCATAGGAACTGATGCATGCCATACTTGTGCACACACATTGAGTCACATCCATACTTATGCACACACATTAAGTCACATCTTAAAGCTATATCTACTTTTTAGTACGCCTTTCAAAAGTATACTTCAAACCCGAAAAAAAAAAGGAATTGCAAAATGAATTACACAACATGACACTGTAATTTACATGATGATGTCATTTGATTCTTAGACTTCAAACGTTATGCTCAATATTGGTTGAAAGGACATTACACTGGAAGCTGGAGTCCTTTGGGTTATTTGCGGAGATCTTTCTATCAACCATTCAACAGTTCAACTGTTTGATTTGTTGTGATTGGATGTATTCCTTTATCAAGAGGAATTAGATGTATTGTTCTGATTATTGCCTTGACAAGGGCTTCATTTTGATTATGGCTCAGGATTTAGTGGAATTTGAGAGATTGGAGACAGCAGCTTTTGCGCCACCTCTCTATCAATATTTGTGATTCTTTAGTTTTTACGGATATTTGTTTGATTTATGCCATACTGCATACCATTCTCTTGTTACAATGCTCTTGCATTTAGTACACTCCTTGTAACCCTTGCCCTTTTCTTGACAGAAAGAACGTTTTTAAGCATTAGATCTGTGCTAGGAACCCAATGGCTGTGTAGAAATTAATTGGCCTTTATTATGAAGTCTAACCATTATGAAGTTGAACTTGGACCAAACATTTTATTTACCACAGAAGTTCATGATATAATCTTTTTAGTCATTGTATTTGCATACAACCGCAGGAATTTGCCAGTGTAAATTCACATGTAAGTCATTGAACAATAGTCATCATATATGCTCAAAACACGAGAAATTATCATCCTATTTGAGTTGGTTAAGTGACAACAATCCAAATCTTTGAGCTTAAAGAATTTTTATATGGCTCCTAGAATGCAAGTTGTTTGACATTTGTAACTATATGCTTTTTTCAGCATATGATACCCTCTTTTAGCCTCTATCACATGAATTTCAACTTGGTTCTGCCCAATTATTTCAAAATAACATGAGAAAAATAACACTTTTTGTTAAGAATATCGGCACAAATTACACGACACATCAGTAGCTCTAGTTCTTTTAGGTATTTTGATAATAGATTTTATTGATTCATTATTCTCTTTTTGCTTCAGTTTCCACAACGCTGACTATGTAACCCATTTTTTGGACACTTGCAAACTGGCCCTCATTGTGGAGCTGAAAGAAGAAAACCTCGTGGTATACCAGAAGTCATACATCCGTGTAAAAGTGGTATGATTATTTTACATATTTTATACTATATATATCTTAAAGTTTTAGTTGAGTATATTTTAAATGGATATTGAATTTTAGCTTCCATTGGGGATTCATGTGGAGAAGTTTTGTGAAGCTTTTGATCTAATAGAAGTTCAGAGTCTGGTCGATCCTGCAGGATTTAAGAACAAAAAGGTT